TAGTTTTGCATATACCACGTCCATGTAAATAATACACACACACATATAATGTTCAAAGCACACATAGGAAACTAACACATGAGAAGGTTGCATGCTTTAGAAAAAACACATATAACATGTGTTTCTTGCATAGAAATAGGTAATACCTCTCTGGTTGTCTGGAGGAATTATGTGATTCAAGCTATTTACTGAAGTAGTTAATGAAGACTTTTATTTAACTTGGGTTATTTAGGGGCACTATAGCAGTTAATGGAGCTCTGGTGGTACAGTGGTTAAGTGTTCAGCTGCTAACCATAAGCTGACGATTCAAACCCATCAGCCACTCTGCAGGAGAAAGATGTGGCAGTCTGCTTCTGTAAAGATTTATAGCCTTGGAAACCTTATGGAGTACTTCATTTATGTCCTATATGGTCCTAATGAGTTGGAATCACCTCAGTTACACTGGGTTTGGTTTTTGGTTTATAACAGTTAATTCTAATTTTAGAAGGAAAGTAATTTTGGTTTCTGTGCTTTAGACATACTTTATGAATAAAGTAATATCAAATAATAATGTATAAGGTCCAGGGTGTGTTTCAAATAGAGAGCATAAAACTAGTGGAATTTTATTGTTTCTGTTCTTAGAAATCCAATTAGAAAAAAATAGATAACTTATCTATTTCATGTGTTTATGCTAGAGTTGTTCCTTAGAATAATCTCATTGTCAGTAGTTCTAAACATTTCCTTTGGCCCCTGCAGTGTTGTCTGCTTTGCCTTATGTCTGTATACCCTAATATAAGACAATATTGGTATATTATTTGTAAAATTAAAAGAGCCTTTTAATTACACTTTATTTTATTTACTTAATTTTTTTTCAGAAGGAGGCCATAGAGTTAAAATTTTGTGCTTGCTCATGACACAGATACTCATTTAAATAATCATAGATTAAGATACTGTGATGACAGTTTTGTTCTATTTAATATTATAATGTAAAACCTCAATTTCATAGAAGTTTAGAAGGCATGATTTTTTCTGAAGAAAAATGCAAACATATTTATTAGTAGTTAAGTGAAATGAGCAATTTTTTTGTTTTCTTTTTCCCTTCTATAGCCCTTATATGTTAAACTTTTGTCCTCAAAAAGATACAGTTCTTTCATGACAGTTGTGTTGACTGTGTATGTACAGACTGACTTCCTTGGAAGTAGGTCAGTATTTTGGGATTTGAGCCTTCCAGATCCTAGATTTCAGTAGCCTTTTCTGAGATTCCTTTTCGACCTGGGCGAATCTGAGTGCAATAAAATTGCTCAGATACAATACCTGCTTTTCAGGTTAATGAACTTAGTGATTATAGTGGGAATGACAGTTTATGAAACATAATCAATTTATCTTTTTTCTTATGTTAAAAGCTCAACTATTTTGGAGCTACCTAAGATAAATCAAGACTCATGGAAATATTTCTTTTTCTGAAGAAAGAATCACTCTATGCATTCATCTCAAAGGTGATTTAAAAACATAAATAGCAGCAAAGTAAACATGCTTCTGTAAAATGACTATGTCTGGTTAAGTCAGTGATACTTTTATTTTGCCACAATACAGTCAACTAATCATGTTTCATTTAGGAAGTAAGGATTTCATCTAGCAAAAATTTGATCACCTAAGAGAAACCAGGGAGCTCTGGTAGCATAGTGCCTAAGGCACTTGACTGCTAACCAGAAGGCTGGCGGTTCAAACCCACCAGCCACTCCTCGGAAGGAAGGTTGGGCAATCCTACTTCTGTAGTGATACTGCCTCGGGAACCCAAGGAGGGATTGCTATGAGTCGGGGCCGACTCGACAGCAAATAACAACAACAACAACAACAACAACAACAAGAGAAACCTTAAAACCAGCTACTCTTCCTTTCTTAAATCTCCTGTTTCTTTCCAGATGTGTTTATCTATGTGCATATTCTCTCCATATATATTAAGAAAGATATAAAATATGTCCAAATTAGCATATGTACTTAAACAATTGGATTCATAAATTGTGAGAGGAGTAGTCTTGCTTTTTGTTTGTTTTCTTTACTAGATTATAAATAATTAAAATCTGGAATAGTACATGCTCTTCTTTATAGTACTGGTACATTAGCAGATTACCATGTAGATGGTGAAGGACAGAATTTGACCTGTGTCACTTGAAAAGGGCCTGGCACATAGTAGGTACCGAAATGTTGTTGAATAATTTAATTACCAGAGAATTATTACCAAATAAAAATTTGTAACAAGCTGTTTAGAAAATACCACTTACATAAAAGATGAGATAGAACTCCTGGATCTCATTTTTTAAGCTCTGATAATTTTCTTGGTTTGCTTTATTTATTCCTTCCTTTTTTTATTAATTGCATAATGTTTTCATTGTAAATTGAAGAAGCAAAAATAAACATAAAGAAGAAAACAAAAATCATTCATAATCCCACCACCAGAAATAACACTTTGGTGCATATACTTTCAGATTTTGTTTTATACATCCATACGCTTACTTTATTTTTCCTTCCAAAACACAGGTTCATTTTTTAGAAACATATATGCAGCTAATCATATATGTATTATTTTCCCTTCTAAAATCTGAATTCATGGATCCTGTTATCCTGTTTCTCCTGAAAAGGGTTGTCTTTACTTGCTGTCTCCTATTTCTCTCATCCTGTTATCTCTTGAACCGAATCAAAGCAGGCTATGATCCTAACCCCCAAGCTTCTGTCAAAGTCATTGTTACTTCCTTTTTGCTAAATCCAGGGGTCAGTTCTAAGTTCACATTTTACTTGACCTAGAAGCATTTGAATCCATTTTTTATTTCTTCACTTTTGTCTCTGGTTTTTCTCCACTTCATTGCTGGACATTCCTCTCCATTCATGTGCCCTTAAACCTTGCAACAAGGAGCCTTGGTGTAGTGGTTAGGTGCTCAGGTTCTAACCAAAAGGTTAGTGTGCTCCTTGGGAGAATAATGTGGCTGTCTGCTTCCATAAAGATTATAGCCTTTAAAACCAATCCTGAAGCAGTTCTACTCTATTCTCTAGGGGTTACTATGAGTCAGAATCAACTTGGTGGCCATAGGTCTGGTTTGTGTTTAAACCCTGCAGCTCTTTAGGGCTCAGTGCTTGGACTTGTTATCTACACTCACGCCCTAGGCAATCTCATTTAGTCTCATGGTTGTAAATATTCTCTGTCTTTGCACTGATGATTCCTAAATGTTTTATGCAGGTCAGATTTTTTCTTTTCTTAGATATTTAATAAGGAGCTCTGGTGGTGCAGTGGTAAAGCATTTGGCTGCTAAACAAGAGGTTGGCAGCTCGAAATTAGCAGCTACTGCACAAGGGAAAGATGTGGCAGTCTGCAACTGTAAAGATTTACAGCCTTGGAAACCCTATGGAGCAGTTCTACTCTGTCCTATAGGGACTTTATGTGTTGGAATCAACTCAGTGGCAGTGAATCCTGCCTGGTTTTGGTAGATATTTAATAGATATTTCAAACTTAGTATGTCCAAAACAATCTCCTCATCCCTACTTCTTAAATGACGGTTTGGCAGTTTAGGTCAGAAACCTTGAAGTCATCTGCACAGCTTTGGTTCTTTGGAAGGCAGAACAGGACAAAGTTTAGCAAGCTGTAGGTTTATTAAGGAGTGCTTTTAGGTTGAAAGCTTTGGAAAGGAAAAGGAAGAAGGATTGGTGGAAAGAGAAGTTAGGCTGTGTTACAGTCTTGTCAAAGACTTCAGCCACCCCCACGGAGAGTTCTGAAGGTAGGAGGAGTTGGTTTTCTTAAGTTGGCACAAGGAGCCTCAAGATTAAATGACATCACCTAGCAAGATGGGGCAGTCTACTTCCGTAGTGATACTGCCTCGGAAACCCAAGGAGGGGTCACTATGAGTCGGGTCCAACTCAGTGGCACATAACAACAACAACAACAAGCAAGTGAGTATGGATAAGAAGTCCAAGGATTGAACCCTAGAGAACTCCATTGTTTATACCATCATGTCAACCAGTAATAAATGTGGGTTGCCAGAGAAAAGGGCATGACCTTGACTTTGTTCAGCCAAACTCATGTGCTTAATGAGAGAGATCTCTGCTGGCAGTTGTCCCAGTGTCTGAGGAATAAGTCCTTTACCTCTGAAGGGAGAGCTGGGCAATACGTAACAGTGTCTACCACATTAATATTCTCTCTCTTCTCTTTTTCATATCCTATATTTAATCCATCAAGCAAATGTTAACTCTGCTTTGAAAATATGGCCAGAATGTGACTACTTATCACCACTTCCTCTTCTACTGTCGTCTTTTGCTTGGATTATTGTAATGTCCTCCCAACTGATCTCCTGCTTCCACCCTTGCACCTTTCTTTCAGTTCTCCACAGTACTTAGAGTAGTCCATTCAGAACAAATCAGATTGTTACTCCAGTTCCCTGGCTTCTTTTCTCACTTAGAATAAAATCCCAAATTCTTTCCATGAAAGCCCTACACAGTCTGGCCTCCATTACCTCTCTAATGCTTTTCTTCTCCTCATTCATGCGTCTTCAGCCATATTAACTTTTCGATCAAGTTTTCTAGTTGTTCTTGCCCTGCCTGTCTGCTGTCTTGACTTCCTCCTTACTTTGTCAGTTCATCTCCTTTCTGTGTCAGCCGGTCTAGTAGGTAGAAAGAAGTTACCTGTATCCACACTGAATGACTTGGCTAAGGTTATACACTAAAAAAATTACTGTGGAGCTTGGAAAAATTTCAAGCATTTTGCTTCCAGCAATCTCTCTTTTTTTTTTTTTTCAGTTATATCTCAGTATAGAAAAATTAATATATTTTGAAATGAAAAAAATAATAATATTTTTGAAGTGTTCATTTCAGTCGTAGTTTTTGAAAAGAATGATTGTTTTGCTTTTTTCCTCATGCTATTTCAAGTTGACTTCTGGTAAAAATGCATTACTCTTATGTAGCTCTGTGATGGGAGTGAGGTCATGGCACCTCATGCATGCAACTAATTATTTCTTGCTCTATCTTTTCCTATACAGGGCCTTTCATCCTACTATAAAGGAGGATTTGAACAGAAAATGAGTAGGCGAGAAGCTAGTCTTATTTTAGGTGTAAGGTAGGTGTGCTGCATAAGTATTATTTTTGTTCCATGGCCAACCTTGTCTTGAAGAAGGAGAATATGTAACAGTAAGATTATCCTTACATTTAAAATTAGCAGTAGGAGGGAAAGGAAAAAATACCAATATTTACAATTTAAAACCTCAAGTCTAAAGAAGTATCCCTGAAAAAAAATTAGGCAAACTTGTGATGTGTCTTTATTTTTTGACAAGGAGCTGTTGTGTTTGAATACTAAAGTTTCAAATTAATCAGAATATCCCTTACCATGACACTCAATCTTTCTGGATTCATTTAGGAATCATATTGAATAGTAATAGAGCTGAATCATATTTTCAATTATAAGACCTGTTTCACATTTGTTTTCTAGTTCCACAGTTGGACATCTAGCATGTTTCATTGCACTTGTTTCACCTTAGGACCCGTTTGTTATCTAACTTTGGGCGGTATGGGAGATGGTTAATAAATGCTGTTATGTGATTGCTATATGCTGTTACTTAATACTTACCACTTGAGATTATTTCCCCTACCAGCAACTATATTAATTTGTTTCTCTTATGTCCCTTAGAACCCACTCCTATTTTTTTGTGGGGATTGGTTACAGTCTGTTGTCAATAGCAAATCTTTAGGTGATTTAATCAACACAGTTAAGCAGAATAGACAATAAAATGCTATATTGACATAATTTACATTAAGTCTCGTATAGGTCAGGAGATTTTCCTAAGCCAAAGCTCTTATTTTTTTGATGAGCTAGGAAGAAAGAGCAAAAAAGTGGGGGAGGCAGCTTAATTTAGTTTGGGGTTTTATCTTTCTTTCTAAGGAGAGCTGTCTTTTTAACAGAGAATAGAAAATAGGACATGATTTTAAGTAGAGGAACCCAATTAGGAAATTAGATATATTGTTAACTGTTCCTTGCTTAATATTATTCCGAATAAATTATTTTCCTTGAATTTTTATTGAACTCCAATAACATTCTATCCATATTCTTTAAATGTGGATATGAAGCACATTATAAAACCAAAGACAAATGTTTTTGAACTGTCATTTAATATCATCCAAGCCACTCCTGTTATTATGAGACATAATTAGGAAGTGATAGTATTTTTGAGTTCTCTTAAGGTATACGGTTATAAAGTTTGATCTTGTTGAACTAGAGGCTGTACAAGATGCACAAGAAAAATAGTGAATCCGGAGGTTAAGACACAGCCTCATATCAGATGGATCTGACTACAAATACCAGTTTCATCACTTACTGTGTTATTTGTTTCTCCTGCATAGGGTTCTTGTGAAGATTAAATTATATAATGCATATGAAATTCTTAAACTAATACATGGTATTTAGTAACTATTCAGTAAATGTCAGCTAAGCAAAATGAGGAGCTTTGGTGGCACAGTGCTTAAGAAATTCGGCTGCTAACCGAAAGGTTGGCGGTTCAAACCTACCAGCTGCTCTTTGGGTGAAAGACAAGGCTTTCTGTAAAGATTTACACCCTTGGAAACCCTATGGGAGAGTTTTACTCTTTCCTGTAGGGTCACTATGAGTTGGAATTGACTCTATGGCACTGAGTTCGTTTGTTGTTTTTGTTGAAGCAGAACAGATCCTTATCCTGATTCTGCCTCTTAGGTAATGTATCACCTTGGTCAAGTTATTTTTACCTTTTCGGAACTTCAGTTTCTTTGATTTTAAATTGGGAATAATAATATCTGCCTTGTTGGAATAATATGATACCATCTTATAAAAGTGTCTGCCAAGTAATAGAAGCTAAATAACTGTTAGTTCATATCTCTTCCCATCTTTCATGGAAATAGATACTAAATATTTGACTTAAAACTTTAAACAGAAAGGTAAAGCTCTTGCTTTTCCTTAGTCAGTCAGTGTTGATTTTGCAGGGCATTTAAAGGTGTGAATACTACATTGCTGTGGTTCCGTTTTCTGTGATCATTGAATCTACACTGCCATCTGTATTATCACTCTGATAACATGGCACATCTATGTTTGTTTGCCAAATGCTGCCTCCAACCCCCAGGTACTTTTTGTGAATGCTCTATGCTAATTTATTTTTTCACAGCAACATGTAAAAAAGAAAATGGCGTATTGGGGGTTATGTAAATACCTCCCAGGGGGCGGGAGCAGTTGGCAAATAAACGTAGATAAGTGTTATTTGAGTAAAAATACAGTAGATTGACTCTAACAAGTAGATACAGGCCAATTGGAACTGATTCCGTTGATACTCTATTAAAGAAAAATACTTTGTGCTACTAGAGGATTCTGTACATTCTTATAGATCGAATTTAATGGTGATTATTTGCTGAGATGCATATTTGAGTCTTTGCTTTATGATTTTCCTTGCTAGAGGGTAGATATATGAACTATAATTCTTATTTATAACAGAAAACGTAAAATATTTTATTCAGCTGTCTAGGAAAATTATTATTATACCTAATATTTTTTAAAATGATACATAATGGTGATTTCCAAACTTTCTAAAAACTTCTGTGGAACTCTGTTTAGACAATGTTGTTGTTGTTATGTGCCATCAAGTCGGACCCAACTCATAGCAACCCCTCCTTGGGTTGCCAAGGCAGTATCACTATGGAAGTAGATTGCCCAGCCTTCCTTCTGAGGAGTGGCTGGTGAGTTTGAACCACCAGCCTTCTAGTTAGCAGTCAAGTGCTTTAGGCACTGTATTACTCAAAAGTCCAGTAATAAAAATGATGAAGTCAAAAAGGCTGTTTGCCACAGGGTTGGGGGACACTACTCAGTTCCACACACACACTTCCTTACTCCTTAGCTTAATGTACTCCACAGAGCACAGTCTGAAATCCTTGCTGTAGGTAACATAATACTTAAAATTACATTTTCAATTTCACGGTGAAATTGTATATAGCGGAAGTATATCATAGCTACATTTAATTTTTATAGGAAGTTTAAGAAGTAGGATTCTTCTATCTTATATAATCTTTGCAATAAACAAATCTATTAAACTGTATTGAGGTCGTAGAGACTTAATGGAGCAATAACAAAAAAGGAATAAACCCTGTAGGCAAGCAAGAATACTTCCACTCATCCCCAAAGCTCACCACTAGGAGTCTGATGACTATTATCTTAAAAGCAGTGTTTGAATGCCCTTATGTGTGTATATAAACCTTCCTTTTGCCTTTTGCTTTAATCTTGTTCAGTGTTTGGCAGACCTCAGTGCGTAAGGCTTTAAGGAATTTTATGTACAAAACCATGTGATTTTTAGGGACAATTTTACTGAAGTAATTTTCATATTTCGCTTTATTTGCTGAATTAGAACTTAATATCCAATATAAGAAGCAACTCTACTAGATAATCCCCTGCCAAGATACAACAGGAAATTTGAGTTTTTCTAAATTCATGTCTTTATTATCTAGTAAGCCACGCATGATTAACTTAATGAAATAAAGTTTTTGAAATTCTTGTCTTTTTTTTTTTATTTTTAACAGTTTTGTAATATGATAATCTTTTCTCTTGTTAAAAAAAAAAAAAAAAAAATGCCACTAGAGCCCCCTTTCTCATGTTAATATTTGCTAATATGAAACCTTAGTGCTCTCAAAGAATTTACTTTTTAAAAGCCACTCTTTTCAAGGCTGTATAAAATGCATTAGGCACCTGTTGCATATACAATTTTTGATACTATTTTTAGATACAAGTTATGGCTTCTTTCCTATGTGTAACTTAGAGTCTACCCAAGGATCAATGTGAACTATATATAGAACCACTATGAAACATAACTGACAAAGCAAAGAAGTGCCACAGAGCACCAAAAGAGAAAGGTAAGTGTAGTTTAGCCACAGGAAATTCAATCATATTAGAATTTTTTTATGTGTTGTGTTTTTTATTTCTTGATAGGTAGTTAAACAATATAGAGTTCATAGCCCTGGTACAGTGTTTAATGGTTACTTGCTAAGAATTCAGTACTTTCTAATCAGTCTTTATGAGAGACAGTAAGTTTGAAATGATCCTCCAAAAGACTTCTTAGCCAAAGGGAATATGCTTAAATCTTTATAAAAAAAAAAAAAAACAAACTTTATTCACGGAAGAATATTTTATGTGCCTAGTCAACATTTGGGGAGCTCTGGTAGCATAGTGGCTAAGACACTTGCCTGCTAACCAGACGGCTGGCGGTTCAAACCCACCAGCCACTCCTCGGAAGGAAGGTTGGGCAATCCTACTTCCGTAGTGATACTGCCTCGGAAACCCAAGGAGGGGTCGCTATGAGTCGGGGCCGACTCCACGGCACATAACAACAACAACAACAACAACAGTCAACATTTGATAGCTCATGCTAACATGCTTGGTAATCTGTTGTTTACAGATCACAAGTAGTGAGTAATTGACAAGAAAACAGCTAGAGGTTGGAATGCTGGCAGAATCAAGGCTTGACAACTAATAGTCTGGAGGCACTGAACGGAACAGAGAGAAGACCTTAAAATGGAGAGCATTTCAGAGCCATTTAGTAGCAAGCAAACCGCTCCAAACCTTGAGAGTTTCTATGCACTTAAATATTATCTGTGATGATGCTTTGGAGTCATTCAGGAAACGTTAAATTATACTTATGCTTCATTTTTTAAATGTAGGAATTATGCAATACATTTTCATAGAAATTATAATAATAACTATATGCCAAGTTATGCTAATCCTTCCATTTATTTTATCTAATTTATCCTTAAAATAATCCGGAGGGGTGGGTTTTATTATGTCCATTTTACACATGAGAAAATTAGAACTCAGAAGGTTTAAGCAGGACAAAGTTCCTAGCTCATGCATGGTTGAATCAGGATTTTGAACCCAAATATGAATAACAATAAAAATACATGCTTTTAGCCACTACAGTTATGGTTCACCCATACAAATTAAATGATTTTGAGCCTAACAACAACCACCCTTCACTGCAAGTCAGCTATTAATATCTCCATTTGAGATCCAGAAAAGCTAAGTGACTTACAAAAGAGCTATTAAGTAACAATATTAATATTTTGTTGTTAGTGATGTTAATTTTTTTCCCTGTCTGGAAATTGTACTAATAAGAAACATTTCCAATACTGGATAAATAGGTTTTGCCAAAATAATTTTAAGCTTTTTTTAAAAAAATGTTTTATTGTGATTTGGGTGCAAATTACAAAGCAGATTCGTTCTGCTCTCAACAGATCAGACATGCTTTGTTTCACAGCACCAATTACTTTCCTAACAATAAGCTGCTGTCGTCCCATCTCTTCCCTGTGACTACCCCTTCCCCATGTCCTTCTTACCTACTAATTTTAGGCTTTTTTAACTTTCTCCTTCCATTTTTTTTTTTTTTTTTCTTTTAGAGATTAGGCTGTTGAAACACCCAAGCTCTTGTGACAGGTTTCCTACAAGGCTAAATTAATTATGATGAGGGATTTTGAGATCTTATGTTGAAAGAAAATGCCAGTGAAAGCCAACTGTTATTAAGCACTTGCTATATGTCAGGCACTATTCTAGCACTTTGTAGGCATTAACTCATTTGTTGTAATCCTTACAACAGCTGTGTAAGGAATATGTTGTTGTTAGCCTCATTTTGCAGTGAGGAAACCAAAGCACTGAGAAGTTAAATAATTTGAGCAAAGTTAGACAAAACTGAAAATCAAACCCAATGCTGTAGAGTCGATTCCAACTCATAGTCATTCTTGTGGAATAAAGTAGAACTGCCGTATAGGTTTTACAGACTCAGACTGACTCCAGACCAGACTCACTGCCCTCGAGTTGGTTCTGACTCATAGTGACCCCTCCTTGGGTTTCTAAGGCAGTATCTTTACAGAATTAGATTGTCCAGTCTTCATTCCGAGGAGTGGCTTGTAGGTTTGAACCAACAGCCTTCTGGTTAGCAGTCAGATGCCATAAGCACTACGCCACCAGGCTGTAAATCTTTATGGAAGCAGACTGCCACATTTTCCTTCCTCAAAGTGGCTCATGGGTTTGAACTGCCAACCTTTTGGTTAGCAGATGAACGTTTAACCACTGTACCACCAGGGCTTTTATATGTAGTCCTAAATGACAGAGCTGGGATTAAAATCACACAGTCTAGCTCTGGAGTTCAAATACCTATCACAAACCAAACTCAACTGCCATTGAGTCAATTCTGAGTCTTAGCGATGTGACCCCCATTGGGTTTCCAATGCTGTAAATCTTTATCGAAGCAGACTGTCTCATCATTCTTCTGCAGAGTGGTTGGTGGGTTTGAATCAGCAGCCTTTTGGATAGCAGCTAAATGCTTTAACCACTACACAACCAGAGCTCCTTAAATACCTATCTGCTATACTGTATATACTGCCTCCCCCCAAAATAACTGGAAGCATATGTTTTCGGTCTGTGAGCTATAACTAACCTACTCTAGCTTTTGTGTTTTTATATTCTTTTTAAAATTGATTGAGAATAAGAACTAGCATTACAGAGGACTGAAGAAATATATGTGCGACACTGAATCATTGATCTATTTTTATGACTAGTGAAATTAAGTGAAAAGCTGCAATTTCATATGTGTCCACAAGATGGTGAAATTTTCATTAGTTTTTAATTTCTTAAAATTCAAATAAACTGTTAATTTATAATTTGCATTTGACATTATTTATTGTAAGCACTTTAATTTCTTTTTGCAGCCCATCTGCTGGCAAGGCCAAGATTAGAACAGCCCATAGAAGAATCATGATTTTGAACCACCCAGACAAAGGTTGGTAGAATTCGTATTTTTCATACTGAGTGGGACAGAATACGCTCTGAATTCCTTTCAATTTACTTAAACTCACTATAAATGATATGTAGTTGAGATGGAAGGCTATGTGCCGAAAGTATTGTGATTTTTCTTCAAAAATAAATGAGCCTTTCCACTGGAGTTCAGTGACCCAAGGAGAGTGGTAGATTTATATTATTACCTTTCGAGAACTTAGGTGCTGATTCTTTTTATGTATAAGTAGTAGCTGAATGCTATTTGAGGTTTCTAATGTTTTGCTTGAGAAACAGAAAATATGAACTGTGGACTCTCTGACTGTGTAAACTGATTTGGGTATCATGGATTATATGTGTTTAACCTTAAACATAAAAATGCAGATTTAGAAGATAGGTTCTAGATCTCTGAAGATAGCTTATCAGGGATGATTCTGGACTTTTCACATTCTGTTCTGGAAAGATCTGAGACAAAGCCATTTGTTTTTAACTGGCCAGGTTTTTAATGTAAATTTATCTTACAGAAAGACAATTATTATAACTTTAACTACATTACAGCTGCTTGAGAAAGAAAGTCCATATGTTCGTTACTGTTTCAGCTTTAAAATAACAGATGGTAGAAAGTTGCACTGTATTTCAGAAGTCAAAGGAGAGGAGTAGAGTGAAGGGTTTCTTAGATTCTTATTTACGACTCAGTTTTCCAATTATTATTGAAAAAAAGTAAAAACAAATTTTGATTCCTACCCATCTACTCTGTTACCAAAATAAGGCATTCTTTTTTCAGCTTTCTCACTTAATTACTTACTATTAAAATTCTTTTCACTAAACATATCTCTGTGGGTTTTTGCCTTTGCTGTTCTTTAGTGTGAATAAACAAGAGAATAAACTTAGCGAAGAGGTTTTGCTTAAAATTTCTGAACAGCTTCAACAGTCACTGACAGATCCACTCAATTAATTTACTTTGTGTTACGGGCTTTCAGAGTACAGGCAGACCTCAGGTTACTCATGTCTGATTTCTGGATAACTCCTACTTGCCCTTTAATGTTAGGTAAATTTGCCCTCACTTTTAAACGACTGAAACAACCCCTACTCACAACAAATTCTTCACATTCACTTCACTTGCTGCATGTGCAGTTTTTAAATTATTAAAAAGATTTTGAGCCTTTTGTTGCACTAAAATCCACTGCCATGGAGTAAATTCTGATTCACAACAACCCTATAGTACAGAGTACTCATTTATTCTCACTGCCATCGAGTTGGTTACGACTCATAGTGACTCCCATTGGGTTTTTGAGGTGATAAATCTTTACAGAAATAGATTGTCCCATCTTCCTTCCATGGAGTGGCTCATGGGTTTGAACTGCCAACCTTCTGGTTAGAAGTCAGATGCCTTAGGCATTATGCCACCAGAGCTC